TTGATAAGGTAAAGTGTATAAATCAAAAGGGAGAAAACTCCCGTATACAAGAAGTATACCAAAAAGTCTCTCATGCTACATATGTAGCTTTATTTGGACGAATATTCTTCCTTGGATAATAATCGGATGAAAATTTGAAATATATTTTGTGATGGGTATAAATCACTGGAAGATTGGAAGTCTTTGTTTGCTGATCAATTCCACATGAACTGGAGGATGAATATCTTCATTTGAGTTCAACATGAAGAGACATCTCATTCTAGGAGAAGAGAAGACATCTCATTCGAGGTCAAGAGAAACATGTGGCTCGAGACAATCTTAAAAAAGGAAATATCAATTCATAAGTTCTAAATTTGTCTATTTCTTTACATACTAGGCCTGGGATAACCTTCTCTTTTGATATGGATGAAGCTTCAGTTGGATATACTCTTCCGTACCGTACATAACATGTGTTTAATTGCATAAAAAAGTGATTTTTTTCCTTGTGATGCAAATAAAAGCACTTGATGTTAGATATTCTTTACGGTCATTGCATACCACATGAATTGGACAATGGATATCTTGATCTGCATACAACATAAGAAGACATCTCATTCTTTGTCTGGATCAGCAGGTCACTCGAGACAATCTAAATAAGGAACCATCACTCAGAAGTGTTCTTTCGGATCCTTTATCGTAAGTTTTATTTTGTCTTGTGGACTTTTCCCCTTCTTTTCTGGTTAGATATAGCAGCATATTTACTGTTTGAGTAAATAAAAAATCTTATACTTGCTCAGTCTCAAATTTTTAACATAGTAAATGGACATCCTTTGCTTCCATTTATAGCAAGAAGTTCAACAAACACTTCTCTAGTCTACTAAAGTTTCCTAGTTTGACTAAAGGTTAAACAGAAGTTTTCAAGTTTATATTTCTTCAAAAATATTCAAAAAATAACGCTAGACAACATTATCAAAAAAATAAAAATAAAAAGGAAGAAAATAATGCTAGATAACTATTTTTGTTTTTTATGTGATAAAGTCATTTTAGTAATAAACAGTACCAGGAGGGTACTGTAGATAGTACAATATCAGGACTTATTCTCCACTAAAAATTAGAGTCTAACAAGTCCATAATCTCTGCCCTTAAAGAAATCCATAATCTCTGTCATGCTAATTACAGAGTCTCCCTTGTCAAATTTTGTGAACATCTATATTTTACAAAAGAAATATATGGAAGACAATTCCTCCATGCATCATATGGACAGTCTGGCTAGAGAGGGATAGGGGATGTTTGAAGGAAAAAAATGCTAGACATCTGTAAACCTAACAGAGACATAACATTACCGCGTAGATGCCTTATACTTGCAAACAGAACCACTAAGATGATCTGAAGAGTTGGAATGCCCTCTATAAATGGTATTCTTATAACAAAAGCGATTTGGTTACAGGAGCTATGAGCTATTGAACAAACATGCACGACTCTATGGAGCTGAGCTAGTTCAATAGAAAAGTATTTTATGGTTGAAATATTTACAGATACCTTTGTTACTCTAGATCATGTGGAGTTAATAAAGAGGTATAACAAAGTCCAAGTTACTTGCAGCTCACACCCATTACCCCCAAGAACGGAAAAACAGTAAGCAGATAAGTGAAAACCTCTACCACCATTTGTTGAGCTGTTGTGACTTGTGAGTTCCTTCTGCCATCTGAAAATAGAGGGATATTAAGTAAAGCAAAATGATGCTTTTGGTAAAATTTTAGAAACAATTGAAAGGTGCATCTTCAATTGTGAAGCTTTATTTTTAAAACATGTATATTGCTAGAGCTATTACATGTTGCAGAATGTGCAGAACTGAGGGTTACAGGCTACACATATCTCATACTAGTTGTGAGATGTTGCAAAAAGCCTTCAGATGATCTTAGTGCTATTTTCGCAAATTTTTAGTGGCTTCACTCATGATGAGGCCCTGAGGAACTCGATCATAAAAAGAATATGTCAATTCCTGTATCCCCAAATTTCACATATTTGATTCTCATTGTTGCACACCACAATTGTTATACTGAGACTTAACCTGAATAAGGACAAGAAGTAGATAAATAATTTGGAACATGAATCTGTGTTTTCCTATGGAAAGGTAGGAGTATCTTGTTCTCTAGAAAAGCTACATTACCTACTCTTCTTTGGCTCTTAAACTAGTTACCTAGTGCATGACCACTGTGTGCTCCTGTTGGACTAAGCATGTTAATATAAACTTCTCCAATCAATTTTTGATCTAGAAAGTTTGTAGGCCTCATTAATTGAACTTGATAGTTGTAGTGTCTTGTTTGTTTGTTTCACCAGCTTTTATCTTTCTTCTTCTTGCTCTGTTCATTACCTATATTAACATATGAATGGTTAAATTGAATATTGTTTATTTCATCTGCCAAATATGATAACTTTGCTGTTACAATGTGAAACATTGCAGTGGCGCATTCCTTGAAGATGCTATGTTTGTTTCATGTGGACATTCGTTTGGTGGTCTAATGCTGAAAAGGGTTATTGATATGGTAGGAGTTGGCATGATTTTTGTCTTCGTTTTAGCTAGCTATTTTTCTGTTCTCCTTAGAAGGTGGAGATTATGAAATGGCATAATTGCTTAATTACAAAGCCACTCTTGCTTGAAATCATTTTCCTTTTTTGGTTTCATGCTGTTGTCTTCACTTGCTTGGATGAATGATCACATTCATCTCTTCATGGCAGGCAAGATGTACCCTCTGCAATGCGGAAATTGAGCGTGGTTCCTTAATTCCCAACCTTGGTGAGCTCATGTTCATTTATTACCCGCTATCTTTTTCCCTTCGGGCTTGTTATTTTAATTTGTATTTTCTTATGCACTCTACCATTCTGGAAACTCTTATTAAATTTATGATGATTATTCTTATTGATTCTGCAATCTGATTTACAATATGGATTTCATCTTTAGTACTAAGAGCTGCGGCTGCGGCGGTGAAGCATGAGGATGATCGAAGACTCTTCCACAATGCAGCTCTTAGAAAGCGCCGAAAAGAAGTGGGAGACAACAGGGTAAGCTTTGATCTTCCCATTTTGCTGCAGCTTTTTCCATCCAAACTGCTAATTAGAACTCATTGTCTTCAGCTTTTTGGTAAAAGGAACTATCTTAATCTGGTTTTATGCAATGACATCACAACTAATATATCCTAGTCGATTTTTGGATAATTTTCCGTCTCAAGTGCACGCAAGATTATGTATTTTGAAATCACCAAGCGAAAATGATGATGTAGAATATGTACCTGGAAAATAGTATAATGACATCACGTTCCTCTATATGTACTTTTCTCATCTATATCTTTTTCTTTTAATGGTAAAGTCAAAACTTTGTTGAAGGAGTTTTCATAGAAAAGAAAAGAAAAGAAAGAAACTTAGTTGACGGACTTATTTTTGGTAGATTTTGACAGATTTCATAGGTGATTTTGAGAAAGCAAGTCTAATGCAGTTTTTGCAATCCTTTTCTGGCATAGAAAAAAGTTTGGAATTAATGGTATTGATCTTCATCCATAGTTAAATTCTGTTCTAGATTAGGTAATAAGGGAAACCACAGAAGACACACAATTAGTTGAATAATCTGCTGAACTACTAGGACACTGTTGCTCACGAATCTGTTTTTCTAGGTTAGACACCAGTCCTACTATGTCTGTTGCTTTTACCTATTATAATATTCTTCGACAATTGACTTCTTCATAAGAGATGTCACATACCTAACTTAAGGATAGGTCGTTCTCGTATTCTTGGGAGGTTCCTTGAGTAGCGTTCCCCTTTGTTGGGGAAGGGGGATGCTTTTCCCCAGTTAAGCTAGTGCTGGAATGGTTAGGAATCTGAAACACCGGCACAACACTGCCCATATCTTCGGAGCTCCCCCTTAGGGAGGTGGATTGAAAGTATTATTGAATCTCTGATAATTAATGATCCTGTGAGGTTGGAAATTTGTCATTTGAATTGCTATCTATCATCTCTGTGTAACATATAGTTAGATAAAATCATATTTCACATTAGCAAGCTGAACTTAATGCATTGGAGTACCGCATGGAGATGTCTCGGGCAAATCTCAAATTTCTTGCTTCATTTACCTATAAGTGTTTCACATTTGAATTTCTTAATGATTTGTAGAAAATCCTCACTACTTCAAACCTTCCAGGAAAATGGAGAGGTTCCTTCTGAAAATGGACCCCATAAAGGTGTTCAGTATCCATACTCGGTGAATGAGAAAGTTGTTATAAGGGTGAGATCTTTGTGACTCTGCATTTTAAATTCTTCAAAGCTATAGGAAAGAATTCATCGAATTACAGCAATGAGAATGCTAAACTGTGCAGGGAAATAGGAGGACACCAGATAAATTTGTTGGAAAGGAAGCTGTAATCACGTCACAGTGTCTTAATGGCTGGTTAGCTACCGGGGCATTTCCTTAATATTTTGCGTACCTACTGCAGTTTGAATGTCAATTTAGATCATTACACTTGTTGCATGGAATATCCAGTGCAGCGTTTTAGCTTAAATTACTGAAATCTAAGTGATATTGCTGCAAGAGCCATCCTATTTAGAGGAAGTAACCAATTTGACAGCTCAAAACTTAAGCTATTATTTTGACATCATTTAAGTAGTCTTTGGGTCTGCAAGGAAGTCCCAATTGTAGTTTATGGTGTCTTGCATTAGAATAAATATGATGGACATTATGGATATATTTTGCTAGTTGTAATCTGTGAATCATTGTAAGTCTATCAAGGACTCAAGGTCCATGTTTGTTTCATGGTTAACCACTTAAGTTTACAGACATATCCTGTCATTCAATTTTGTAACTCACATATCTATAATAAAATAAGAAATAGATATACCTTATTGCAGGAAAAGTGTGTATTGGTATGTCAAATTGAAATATTCAAGTGACAATTATCATCTAAAATTTTCAATAAAATCAAGTTTTTAGGAGCTTTTAGTCCAATGTGACAAAATGAATCTTTCTTCATGAAAGCATGTGTGTTATCTGAAGACTTCTCGACCTCTTAGTCTGTTCTATATCTATCAAGTAATTGAGATAAAAGCGATTAGCTTGTCATGTTGTTGCATTATATTGAAAAAATGATGTTACTTTTTTTTTGAAGAGTCGTATTTCAGTTGCTAGTGATGGTGTAGTTCTTGCAAATTCTCTCATTTCTTTGCTGTCATAAGAGATTAATACATTAAAACATTTCAGTTGCTAGTGATATTTAGTTCCTGCAAATTTTCTCATTCCTCTCGTGTCATACGAGATTAATACCATTTCCCTTGCAGTATGTTTTAAACAACTATTTGGTGCCACAATGATATGTTAAACAACTGTTTTGTTCCTTGGCTGGTTTGCTGGATATCTGCGACAATAATACTTTTAGACAGATGCATTGGTCATGCTTGAAAAGTTCTCCTTGTTTAGGGATCCCTAAAATGATCTTCTCAATTCCTGCAGGTATTTGCTTAAGATTATTGACAGTGGAGAAAATGTCCGGTTGCAGTACCGGTCTCTGCGTAAGATCGGTCCTTCCCAGGAAGCAGATGAGAGATGCCAGTCACAGACAGTTCAGAATAGTAGCTGATAGATTATCACGACCAATTTCCATGTGGATTATACTGTAGAAGCGAGCCCCTCTGTACTCTGCTCAAGTTTAAAGATGTAACATTTTTTTTCCTGTAACCTAATTACCGGTACATGTTTGTGCTGAGAGAGAGAGAGAGAGAGAGAGAGAGAGAGAGAGAGAGAGAGAGAGGTTCATAGTTTGACAAAATCCTTAATTGTTGCTGGTATAAGATTGTAAAAGAAACACCCCACCCTAGAAAGAGATCATCTTGAGGATAACAAGGTGGCTCCGATACCCTGTAGTGCAGTGCTGCTTATTTTCCACATGTATAGCCAAATATTCATTTTTGTTAAATCTCTCTGTATGATAGGGCTATACAGGGGACGCCCTGTCATATTTTTCAGTGCTCCTCTATGTTTCATTCATCATTGGTTCACTGTGCAGATAAAATGTTAGCTTCCTTTCCTGTACCCTATTGTTGCTGTTGTATTCATCATTGATCACTTGCAGGTAAATATCTGACCCTTCTTAGATTCAGAATTTAGTTGACATTTTAAATTAAATCGCTTGTTACTTGCTACAGCTTTCTCTCAAAAATCTGTTGCTCTGAGCAGCCTACATGGCAATATGTTGCTTTTTTTTTCTTCTGAATAAATTGCAAAGCCAGATTTAGTGGTAGCAATGATCCAAGTTTTTAATGTTAATTTGGTAGGAAATGGATTCATTCCTTTCCGAAAGAGACCAAATTCAATTGAGGTTTCTGCAAAATTTAATCCAGATTTCAGTTGTTTACCGTTTTGGAGGGGACCTCATTAATTTCCAATATTGTAGCATTTGCTACATAGCAAAGCAAGTGTTCGAAAGATCAGTCTACATTAATGAGTTTGTTAACGAATTATCTCGCAAAATCTTGATCAATTCCCCAAATAGATGCAATTTTCTGAATGTTGTCGAGTAGTCTGTCGGCCTTGCATATGCTTCATTGTCATTTATCAAGCTTTTTTTAGTGGAAACAGGGCGAAAATAACTCTGAGGAGAAAGAATTTAAGCCATGAAACACTTCTTCAAAGTGAGTACCTTTACATTGGCAAGGACAACTTTACAGGCAAAAAATCTAGGAAGAAATTAGTACTTCATTCTTTTACAATAGAAAACTAGGAATGGATGAATTCCACTTGTGAATTATCAATATCTTTGCTTAGTGTTTTTCAGAAGTCCTGACTTCTACAAAGCCTAGGCAAAGCTCTAGTATGAGCAGGAGGAATAATTGCCCCTGTCTTCACCATTTTAGACATTTGGCCTTTCATATCTTTGCATATTTTTTCCAACTCCACTACTCTCCACTGCATTTTTTGTAAGTTTAGCCTCATATATTCATGCTCCTGTTCTGGCAAGCTATGTTGATCACTTGAACTAGAACTGTCACTCTTGTTTTTCTTGTACAAAACCATTTGGCTATTACTGACTTTTGTTTCCTTAACAAAGTTGTTGTTTGTTGTTGGGATACTTGAAGAATTCTGAGAAGCAAGTGCTTGGACAGCAATTCTTGGTGATATTCTTGGATTTTTTGCCAAGTCTTTGCATGCTTCAAGGCTTAGTTTCTCATAGTTGAGACATCTGCACAGTCTTGATCTTTCCTCTAATGAAAGGGTTGGATGAGACTGCAATCAATTTACACCATATGTACCATCTTAGATGCAAGAAACATAATATACAAGGCAAAATGAAAAGAAGAATGATTGCAGAAACACTATTCTTTTTGTTTTATTTTATATGACGCTCTTTCCTTTTTAAGAGGGGAGTCTTGGAGCAACGGTAAAGTTTTCTCTGTGTGACCTATAGGTCATGGGTTCGAGCCGTGGAAGCAGGCACTAATACTTGCATTAGGGTAGGCTGTCTACATCACACCCCTTGGGGTGCGGCCCTTTCCCGGATCCTATATGAATGCGGGATGTCTTGTGCACCGGACTGCTCTTTTTTTTTTCTTTCCTTTTTGGTCTCTTTAAAGTATGGGTGTCTAACGGGCCGGGTCAGCCCGTTTCCATCCCTACCCAGACCGGTTAAAACCGGAACCGGCCCGGCCCGGTACAAGGGGGCTGGGTTAAAGGGGTAGGGATTGGTCCGTTTACTTAAATCATAGCGGTTAACCGGATCGGTCAAACCCGGTCAACCAAAATCCTTGTAGAACCGGTTAACCGGCCCCGCCCGGTTTAAAGGCTAGATTTCAATTTTTTTTTTTTGAGGTTTTAGAGTCTAATGCAATGCAAAACCTTTGAATTTACTCTTTTTCGTTAATTTACTTGTTATTAAATGTAACCTTTCAATTTGTAAGTTTGAATTTTGAAATAAATGTAGCACTTGCAATTTACAAGTGCAATTTTTTTTTACATCTTTATTATATTCTTTATATTTTTACTTTATATTAATATGATTATAATAGTTATACAAAACACAAAAAAAATATATATATAAAAAAAAAACTAACCCGGCCCGGCCCCTTGGACCCGTAACCCTTACGGTTCATTTTTTACCCAGATGAACCCGGACCCGTTAAGCCTGGTAACCCCTAACACGTAACCGGCCTGGTTCCAAACTCGTATGGTTCAAAATTTTCCCTACCCAGCCCGGCTCACCCGTTAGACACCCTTACTTTAAAAGAAAGAATGACACTCTTCTTAAAGTTTAAATTTCGCATTTTATCTTTAGTGGTTTAAGATCACAAGTTCTAATAGTGTATGTGTCAGAAGTCTTTCTTTTTTAAAACTCTATACTCAATTAAAACACCACAATACAAAATGAAATGGGAGGACTACATTATTAACAAATGGCACCTCAATCATGTTAGGTGGAGGAAATTTCTTTAGAATGAAAGAGTTATTTATAGAAAGGATTCAGCACATAAAAGGACAAAGGCAATAAGAAATAGAAAGAACACAATAACAAAGGAAAATCAATTATAACTACCTAAAACAGTTTCTAGTACAAATCTTACAATGACTTAACTCAAGACTGTCCAAGAAAGATGCTGCTGTTAGAGCAGCAACTATTTTAAGGGTCCCATGCAAATCACTGATTGGTTTACATAAAAGTACTCATGAATTAATGAGTTCACAAGTTCCCATGACAAACTTTTATAATGACCCTACTACTTTTCCTTTCAAGTCCAAAATTCAAATGCAATGTTAAATTCAAATGCTTTACATTTAAGTCTTCTCATGAATGCTTACAATCTTACATAGATGGCCCAGAGCTGGTTTGGTATAAGGGATAAAAGGATAATTATTTATAATATATAAATTTAAATGAGTTTATCTCACGTTTGGTTGGAATAAAATCGCGGTATAACTAATTACAGAATTAGTTATTCCGGAGTGGTAGAGTTATTTTTATTCCTTAGGGGTCGTTTGAGTGAGAAATAAGTTATCCCATGATATATTATCACGGGATTAGCTATCCCACCCTTCCATGCAGATAAAAAATACTACAATCCCGGGATAATTAATCCCGCGATTAGTTATACCACGATTTTATCTCAACCAAAATTGGGATAAACTTATCTCAAATTTAATTCCGGGATTAATAATCCCTTATCCCTTGTACCAAACGAGCCCTTAGAGTGGGATAATAATTTCGGGATAACTAGTCCCGAAATAATTAATCCTGAGATAACTTATTTCCCAACCAAACGATCTCTCAATGAATTATGAGCTATTTTTGTCATATGCTAAAAGCCTTGTACCTTCCAACAAAGAAAAAAAAAAGAAAAGAGAAGAATATTTTGCATTGTGTTCATATCATGACAACTATATTAAATCTGCAGTTCACAGTAAGGCAATAACAGATAAATCCACAAGTATGATTAGAAGGCCCCACAGCATGTTATGCATATCAGTATATCACCATAGTAAAATGTACTACTCATCTAGCTATAGCTAAAATTTTACTAGAACATATTTATCTGTTGAAAAAAATGGAAAAAACAATATCTTGCATTTATTACATGTGGAGCAACTAGTAAGTGAAATTTTCTGCACATTTGTGGGGTTTTCCCAAAAAGATTCAAAAAATTTCCACAAAGACACACCATTCACCATAACAAAAAATGCAAAAGTGAAAAGTATTGCCTTATTGGGAAGACATGTTCTTGTCTTATCCTATATCTTTTAGCTTTTTGTCCAAACCTTAAAAACTTTTTATCTTAAACTACTATTGACCAGTGAATCAGTAGCAGTTATTATTTCATGGATAAGAAGGGGAAAAAAGAAAAACAAGGCAGTTCGGTGCACTAAGTTCTCGCTATGTACGGGGAATGCGGAAGAACCGGACTATAAGGGTCTATTGTATGTAATTTTACCTTACATTTCTGCAAAAGGTTGTTTTCACGGCACGAACCCGTGACCTCCCTCCATCCCACTTTATGTGGCGATGTTTGATTTGGACTCGAGTTTAAGAAAGAAAGGAAGACTTTTGAAACTTGTCGTCTAAAACAAACAATAGATATTTGTGTGGTAAAGTAGAAATTCTAAAGATAAATTGTTTCTAAATTAGGAAAGGAAAGTTTTTTAACGTACTCCCTCTGTCTCAAATTATCTGTCGTAATTTCTAAAAATAGTTGTCTCAAATTATTTGTCATTTTAGAAGTTCAAGATAAAATAAATTATATTCCCTCCATCTCAAATCATATGTCGTAGTTTCTAAAAATAATTATATCAAATTATTTGTCATTTTAGAAGTTCAAGACATAAATAAGGGTAAAACGATCAAAAACCTCTCCTATTTAATATTTTCTTAAGAGGCTTGTAAAAAAGAAACAAGACACATAATTTGAGACGGAAGGAGTATTTTTTTAATTTTACCCTTAATAATAATTGTCTTGAAAAAGGAGATAGCACATAAATAGAATAAATATTCAATAAAGAGAGATCATATCTTTAGACATGAACAAGGGTAAAATAGTCTAAAATCCCTTCTAACTAATGCTTCTTAATGGATGTGTAAAAACGAAACACGACAAATAATTTGATACCAAGAGAGCACTAATAAAGAAAGTATATCACATAAATTGAGACGGAACGAGAAATAATTACCTCAAGATAGATGTCAATGGCTCTATAGACCCCATCAAAACAATCCCTTGCATAATCTGGTAAACTCTCTGCTATGCCAAGAAACTTTGATATTTTAAGACTTTGGTCTGGAGCAATTTCTCTCAAATACTTATCTATCAATCTTCCAACTTTTTTCAACTTTTGTACACAAACTTTGTCATTAATATGAACAAAAACTCTAATCAATCTCAACACAAGATTCACATCATAAACACCTCCATTATGTCCACAAACAAGAATATCATCTAGTGTTGCTTGATCAAGATTCCCACCTATCAATTTCTCCAAATTACCCCTACATTCTTTACTAATCCCAA